CCATTGTAAAAGTCTACAACCCTTCCTTTTTGTCGTTGATCACTTTAAATTTCGACGCTTTGGATTGGGTCATTGGTTCCTTGATTAATAATGATTCTCTATTGAACTTTTCCACACACACACACACACACACACACACATATATATATATATATATATATATATATATATAGAGAGAGAGAGAGAGAGAGATAGGTTCAAATGTTTCCAACAAATATTATGTGCCTAAATGCACAATAATTAAATAAATCATTAAAGTGTATTTTGGACCTTTTGTACTTTTAATTAAGGAAATTATTTAATTGAAATCCTACAATTATGGAAATAAAGTAAATATATTTGACCTAGTCCTTCACCTTCGTTTCCTACCTAGAACATCACCATACTGAGAGGAAAATCAACGACTTTCCACCTTCGTTTCCTTGCGATCGATTAAGAGTCAATAGTTGTGTTTCTTTCTTCTCAGATCAACTAAGGACTATAGTCTTTCCCTCCCTGCATGATTGTTGTAGGATAGAAGAAGGAGCAGCCGTCACTGCCACTTGACGGCAACACTGCTACCTCTGTTCCTTTCCCTCCATCGATACCCTCATATTGATCATACCATGGAGCATGAACAATCACAAACAGCCATGGTGTTCTACTCCAACTAACCATCTTCAAGTTGCCAGGTATGATTCTCCCTTGGTTTGATTTCTCTTTTTTGTCTTTGTTTGAAATTAATTGGATTTTATTGATTGAGAATTCAATAATGGAATTGGACCTGTCTTATCCATGTGTGTTTGATAATAAAACATGCCTTCAAGTGTTTGATATAACGTCAAAAAGAGAAAGTTTTTGTGTAAAAGAGGCAAGAAGTATATTATTCTGTTAGAATATTCAACAAAGAATATTTATATATCTTTATGTTGTTTATGCAAATCTCAATTTACATGTTTCAGTGGCTTACAAGCTCTCAAAGTGTTTGATAATAAAACATGCCTTCCAAGTGTTTGATATAATGTCAAAAAGAGAAAGTTTTTGTGTAAAAGATGCAAGTTTGATATGTTTTTTCATATCGATTATTCTGTTAGAATATTCAACAAAGAATGTTAAGAATATTATGCAACAAGTATATTATTTTGTTAGAATATCGAACAAAGAATATTTATATATCTTTATGTTGTTTATGCAAATCTCAATTTACATGTTGTTTCAGTGGCTTACAAGCTGTCCAAGAGAAAAGTTGATGAGAACTTGCATTTACTGCATACCATCTTTTTTGGAAAACGAACAAAGGTGAAAAACAACAAATTAAGCAATCTTTTTTTTTTTTAAATCTTTTTTCATATATGAAAGCTAAGTTTTGTGGCTTCTGCATATTATATAACAAGTATATTATTCTGTTAGAATATTCAGCAAAAAATGTTAAGAATATTATGCAACAAGTATATTATTCTGTTATAATATTCAACAAAGAATGTTATTTTTTTTAGTCACCTTTTGTGTTAACATGATCTTTTCATGTATTTATATTTTAATTGTTTTGTGCGTTAGATATATTCTTGATAATACAAACTCTTTAAGAATATTCAAAATCATTCTGCAAGAATAGTTTATTATGTAAAGAATATTATTACTGTATTTTGATAAAGTTGTAGTTACTTATTTATATGTTTGATGTGTAGTTGTTACAAGTGTATCACTACAAAATATTTGGTAATAAATTTGTGATAGAAATGGTTTGAAGACCTGATGGGAAAGACTTCAAGAATGAATTAAAGAATGATCACACTCATTGTTTAAAAATGTTGTTATTTTTTAAGAATTACACTTGTTATTCTTTCACCATGTTGTTATTATAAAGAAAATGTTATTCTTGATAATATGTTGTATAATTCTTTAAGCATTTTTAATATAAAAAGTATCTTGAATGAAATAATATTCTGCAAGAATAAAACCGCAAATATATTTACTGGTTTATTGTTGATTTTTTTATCATTCTGACTTAATAAAACCGATTATTATTAAAAACAATATTAAAATTTAATTAGAATTAATTTAAAAAATTTAGATTTTCAAAAAATAAGTGAAGAAAATTTCCTTTTTTAAAATAAGTTAATTGATCAAAATACCATTTTGCTGATATTTGTGTGATTATATGATACATGCTACCCTATGGTAATATCATGCACTCTCAAATCATGACTGTTGATTCTATTCATCGAGTGGTCTAGATATGTGCATTCTGGCATACAATAGTTACTAGAAACAAAATAACCTCTCTCTCTCTCTCTCTCTATATATATATATATATATATATATATATATCACATCACACAACACTATCACCATCACCTCTCCATTTGTAAATGTTTACAGGTAAGAATATCACCGCCAACTTAATAACCAATCATTTAGCCTAGGGGTGAGCAGTTTGTACCAAATCTTGATCTCATATCGGAACCGGTATCGTATGGTACCGAATTTAAAATATGCGACGGTACTCGGTACTCTAAAATCACAAAATTCGGGATTCGATATCGTCGATACCGGTACAAGTACCGAAAATCGGTACCATTCCAGGTACCAGTACCAGTAATGTTAATTCGGTTCGGTACTCGGGATTGACTTTCGATCAAATTTGATTTTTAGAAAATTGATATTATAAGGTTTTTCAAAAGTGTTATGTCTTTCTTTTATACAATAAATTTTGATTCCTGTGATTTTACAAACAACAAAGCTTCCAACAGTTACAAAAATATTTGAATCATGACAAAGGATTTAAGATCACATTGATTCTTATTTCTAAGGATATTAAGGCTAAGAAGTATGGTCACCACCAACCCACTATAAAAGTAGTGTCATCTATACGCCACGTCAGTTCCACCACATGTCTACCACCAAACCACTAGCCATTGGAAATAGTTACCACTTCTTTCTATTTTTTAAACATTAGAATAAATTTAAAAATAACTTTTAAACAAAAATAAAACATAAATACTAATTAAAAAAACATTACATTAACTAAAGACACACAAGTTTAAATCCTAAATTACTTAAAAACATTAAGAATTAAAACCTAAATTACTAAAAAAACATTTAAAAAAAACGTAGAATATACTACTCGTCTTCGTTGTTGTCCTCGTCGTCGTTAGTCTTGTTTTCATCATCAATGTACTCATTCTCATCGTCTTCGTCATTTTGTTGTTGGGATTGCATTTGCTATATGTGTTCAGTCAAATCATGGTGTATATTGTGATTTGTTTCACTGCTTTGTATCTCCAATAGCCTTGTGAAGTATGTTGGGGTGTCGGCTTGTATAATTGCAGGTGGATTAAGTATGTCTTCCATACTATACATACGAATTGCCTATCCTCTTCTTCTATTATCATGTTATATAAAATAATACAAGTTGTCAACACCTTCATCAATTTTGTCCTATCCCATGTTTATGCCGGTTAGGAGTATGATTTGACAAACGTAGTGTACTCTGGATATATCTCATCACCAAGGTAATACCCATAATTATATTAATGTCTATTCACCACGTATGGCATGTTTGGTGTTTTACCCTACAAAATGTCGTTAAATAGCGAAGACACTCCAAGTGCATTCAGGTCGTCATTTGACCCCGCCATACCAAAGAATGCATGTCAAAACCATAGGTCCTATGAAACAACTGACTTTAGTATAACAGTCGACACGTCATTATCACATCATGTGAATTGACATCGTCATGCATTGGGAAATTTTTCTCAGTGCCAATGTGTACAATCAAGGCTACCAAGCAATCCTGTAAAACCATGTTTAGCATCATGTGTATCATACAACTGTTCGACCTCACTCCTAGTTAGATGTCGCAAGTATATGTCACCATAAATCTCTGTAACATACTCACAAAAAAGACAACACGTTCTTGCCCCAACCTCTCAGACATTTTCAAATATTCATCTGATGCATCTGCGACTATGTCGTATGCCAATTGTCTAAAAGTTGTTGTGCATTTTTGTATTGTACTAAAACCACGTTACCTCTAGCATCTCATCTCATATGAAAAAACTCATAATTGTTTGTCAAATCTCTAGCTATACGTAAAAATGAATTTATACTAATACGAATGTAACATCCCAAAAGTACAGATAAAATTTTGTTTTTAAATTCATTTGATTCATAAGAAACTGATACAAAATATTCAAAAGAGTCATATTGAAACATATTATCAGAGTACAAATCCCAAAATCACTAGATGCGGAAAAACATAGAGTGATATAGTGCGATGAGGTCGGACCTTTCCCCTTTGAACTGGAAGCACCTGAAACAGAAACTAAAAACTATAAGCACAAAGATTGGTGAGTTCCCCCAACATACCACATACTAAACAAACATGCTGCCAAGCATATATGGGTGGTGGTCTACCCCTTTGGTCTATTTCAACCGGATACCGGGTCTATTTCACCCCTACTACTACCACATATATCATAACAGTAAACATAGAGTCATTAAGAAATACAGACATAACTAACAATTATCATAATGACAATCATCACACTATAACATAAACTAGTGGGCCAGCCTTGGTACCTTCGACCCACGGCTACTGCGAAGGAAGACGCACCTCGGATTGTGGGTATCAAAACACACTCATCAGATGATTCGTGGACTCCTCTCCCTACCATACAAGCATAAAACCCTAATTAGAATTTAGGTCACAATCTATCCCAAAGGTCCAAAACCCTAGTCCTTGACTTAAGGCAAAAATGCTCCTTTACCTTTTCCTTATTGGGCCTCCTTCTCTCCAAGGCCCAAAACCAGAAAAACTAAAAAGGCATCAAATCCCATCATAAGGCCTCTAAGGCCCAATATGGCCTAATAACCCCACACATGGCCTTATGCCCAAAAAGGACTTGCTACACTCAGGTGGACCCAAGGCCCAAATTTCTTAAGTCTAAAGCCCAACACTAAACGAGCCCAAAATCTTCCAAGCCCATAGATCGTGTAAATAAGATTCACAACTGGATATGTTGATCCATTACTGGTTGGAACCAGTTGTGTCATTTGACCTTCAAAATAAACAAGATTCACAGCTGGATCTTCCGATCACACCGAAAACCTTCAAGTTTCGAAGTTTTGTGAAAGTTGTGAATATTCCAACAACAGACAACAGTGCATATCACTTTCTTTTCTCATTCTACCTAAAGCACATGAAGCCGTGGTACGAAACACAGAGTGCAAGCAAAATTACGGCTGTGAAGGTCACCGGTCCAATCGAAACTGATGGCTTCCCAAATGCGAAGCTTAAGGTTGCTAGAGGTTCGTCTAGTCAGATCTACAAATTCACTCTCACTGATCTGCCATGCCTAAACCCATACAAATGGATCATGTTGTAATATGTTGCCAAGGGATGAACAAAAATATGTGCTTGTTGTTTCTCACCTCAAGCAAATGTTAATATCATACATTCAAGAAGTTGGCAAGATAGATGTTGATATTGTTGTTGTGATGCGAAGGAAGCCAAGTGTACTCCCCAAAGAAGCCCCATAAGGTTTTGATAAAATGAAACCTGAGAAGATACAAAAAAAGGGTGGTGTGTGGGCTTTCAGATGAAAGAAAGAATTAATGCAAACTTTCACAAGGCTTGCTTCTTTCTTACTGATAAGTATTTGTTCTCCACTTCGTGCTTGGAGTATATCTTGGACTTCATTAGCAAGTACAAAGGGAACAAAAAATGCGACAATAAGTTCTTTTCGGATATGATTCAATGGTATATCCAAGATCTCAAAGTGCTGCTAAGCTTCATTTCGAAAGTATTTGAAGTGCAGAAGAGAACTCAACAATGAAAGACTCTCGCCTCAATTAATGCAAAGAGGGAGATTGTTGGGTATTTAGTGTTGCATATTTTAGGCTTTTTACTTAGTCTATTTTATATCCGCGTTGGGCCTATCCACTCGTGATTTATTTTTTAGGGTTTTATTATTTAAGATGCATGCATGCATCGTGTATTTGTTAATAGTGTCATTGTTAACCCTATATATCCTCTACAGTAACCGTTCTTTATCGAGCTCTTCTGAGGTTGTGACTTTTAATCATTCGACAAATTCTTGATCATATTTTGTGTTTGATTGTTTTTACCTGTTTGAATCTATTCGATCTATAGAGTTTCAATCTCAATAATGGGTATCAGAGTAGGAGACTGTGTAATCTATGCGCATCTCTTCTGTTGAAAGAGTTTTTAGGGTTTCCGCTATTATTGGATCTAGTTCAGTTGTCATCATTATTATGGATGCTAATCTTTGATCTTTATATCACCCAAAAACCATTTTATTTTACACATCTGATTCATACAAGTTTTAATCGATCTTTAAACATGTCAGACGATTCTCACGTTAACTCCATAAATCCTTCAAGCATCATTGGATCAACAACCAGAATTCCTATTCTTTTCCCCAATGATTATAACGTATGGGATTTGCATTTTGAAGATTACGTCCTTGGGCTTGAAGACAATGGCTATTTGATATGGGAAGCCGTTACTGTCTAGACGTTTACTCATATAGGAAGAAGAAGAGAAATTAAAACTCAAGCTGACTACAAAAAGCTTCTTCTTGATGTAAAAGATATATCACAAGATGATAAGGATAGACTGATAAGCAACGTTAAAGCGATGACGATCATCATATTTGCTTTGCCACCAGATACTTTTTGGTTGGTGAGTTCATACGACACAACAAAAGCCACTTAGGATAGGCTTAAGGAACTATACTAAACTAATACTGATCTTGAGCATTCTACTCAAACTCTACTGCTTTAAGAGTTTCGAGCGTTTGTACAAAATCCTGAAGAGATTTCAGATCAAACCTTCAATCACTATAATCATCTTCTCAGTAGGATGATGAAGCACAAGATTGGACGTGAACTAATCGAGCAAAAAGTCACATTCATGAACGGGCTAAGTTCTGAATGGAATGTTGTTGTCTCTACCATTAAAGCGCATGAGCCGTTCAAGAACTACATGTTGGCGAAGCTAGTTGGAATACTGAGATCACATGAATATGAAGTGACGAAAGAAGGGAATATAGTTTATCGGATAGGATCACTGTCCCTTGTTGTGAAGGGTAAAAAGGGAGTATATGATGATGGTTTGGAGTCTGATCTCTCCGATTGTGAACTTTCTATGGAGGAATTTCCTATGATAGTGTCTGATCCAAAGAGATTCGCAAATAACTTCAATCGTAACAAGCACCAAAACTGGTATAGAAGTTATAGCTTTGAAAAGGTAAAGGAAGAGAGTGCGAATAACTCTCAGAAAGAAGAAGCGAAGAAGAATAAAGAGCTTATGGGGCACTCCGGCT